CAGGAATATGAATCAACTTTTTTTCCTGCTATTGTTTTATCCAATATATTTTTAGCAGCCATTGCAAGGAATATGTTACTTTCTGCTATGTTTGTTTATGTTCCTGAGTGTCCCTATGACAGTATCTAAGATCCAAAAATACACATTAAAAATACACAGATCTCTCTCTTTCCCCCCTCCCCCCCCCTTCTTCTGGAGTGTCCACTCAATTAACTTGATACTTACTGGAACTCAAACAATTCTGTGTTCTGTACCCTGGTTTGCCATTTCATAGCTGTCTTACTTGAAACATTTAAAAGGCTGATTCCCAGAAGAGATGCTCTGTGCACACATTTCTGGTCCCTGCTCAGTGAGGCTATGACCTAAGCTGAGGAATATGAGCACAAGAGACCTCCTAACAACTGATTGTCTGTCTGTGGGTCTCCCCTACCATTTCCTTCAGGAAACAAGGTGCTCATGCCCTACACAGAACTTTTGCAAAAGCAGTTGCATGCCAAGTGCACCAGAAGTAGGAAACAGAATACGAGGGAAGCAACCCAGAAAGTATCTCCTGCTTCCTCTCAACACCCCACAAAGAGTGTCCATGAAAAAAAGTGTCCCCCAGGCCCATAAGAGAAAATCCCAGGGATCTTGATATAGAGCACAAGACCTTATAAGCATCTTGTAAAGATTTATGCACATTTTGCCTGGAATATTTTTGTTTATGACCTGTATGGCAGAGATACATTCAATGCAATATGTACCATGCCTCAGCAGTCAAAGGTACTTATTCTTCCCATGGTGATGGTCAGTCATTTGCAAGATGTTCTTACATTAGCAAGAAGTTAGTCCATCTTACATACAGGCCCGTTTATGTTGTCCTGGTTTGAGAGCCCATTTTGCAGCTGGGCTTGCCTGAGGCCCTGCCATGCCACCCAGCTCCAGCTCAGGGGCAGTAGCCTTTCCACGAGGTGTAACTCAATTGCTGGGGTTAAACTGTCTCTAACCCTGATTCAGTTTGTTAACACGACAGGTAACAGCGGCAGCAAATCTCTGTTTGGTTTCCCAAGGTGTTGCCTAGATTAGCCTGAATGACTGTGCTGTATTCACAGGGAGGTCTGGAACCTCGTGTGTGGTGGGTGCTGTGCACACCTATCTCACACCCCATGTTCAGCAGACCACCTGAGTTAAGAGCCTGTCTGTTTTCACCCACTTGTTGTGTTATTCCAGGGCACACAAAGGCACTCTGGGAAGCAGAGCTTTATCACACGATAGCATTTTCATCCCTGAGACTGGGCAAGAGCCTGCAAGGCCAGTCAGGGTGTTTTCTCAAGAAAACGTTTCTGATCGGATTCGAGCTTTACAGGTAATTTCACAACAGATTTTTTTTTTTTCAAATCTGAGAGGTGAAACATCTTTTCAGACTTGATTTTTTGGGGGTAATATTTGTGATCGAACGTTTGATTAGTAAATAATACCTGCCTGCAGCTTGCATTAAATGTTGCATTTGTAGATTAGACAGCAGTGTCATGTCTTGGTTCTACTTAAGTGATAGTTGAAAAATGGAGAGGTTGTTTGACTCCCTAAGAGAACACCCAAAGTCCTGTGCTCTGGATTCCAATGGTGAAGTTAAAATAAAGGTAACTCGTTGACCTGAGCTAAAAAAATGTACTGGGGAAACCTCCATCACTATCACCTGCTAATGTATTTTATGCCACACTGAAGCTGAAACTCCAGCCTACCATGAAATTGGGACCTCCACCTCCACTTGTACTTCATGCAAAGAGAACAGAGGATGCTGGGACCAGTTCTGAAGATGATGGATTGCCCAGGAGTCCTCCAGAAATGTTTTTCTTTCATGAAAACCTAAATTCAGGCACAAAACCAAGAGTGAGTAGTACTGGTGTTGACAAAAAATCAATGCTTAATGACTTGTTTTACCTATGTGTGGAAGGCAGAACACATTATTTGGTTTGCTATATGTGTCACTACTTTATGTCTAAAATAACCTTACTCAAAATGGAAAAATCCTGTATCTCTGTGCACTTAGGATCTCTGTTCCTGTTAAAACATAAATATCATGCTAGAAAATGCAGAACTAGGGAGGAGAGGATGTGTTTGTCTGTGTACATTGGGATGATGGGGTTTTTTTGGGGACTCCAGGGAGTTGCCAGGCATTAAAAAAAGGCTGAAAAATCTGTATTCTCCCTAGAATGTGCTGATAAGAAAGCTCTCTTTGTTAGTGCTTTTCTAGGCTGTCATGGGAAAAAGAAACAGAAAAGAATTTGAAGCTGTTTTTCCTTTTTAAATGCTAGTTTTGTTATACATTATTTCATTCTTTATCTGCATGTCTTACACTTTATGTTTGCAATGTCCTTGCTAATCCTTAAGACTGTAGAGAAAAACAACTTACATTGTCAGTGTCTGTGTGCACTTTGTGTAGATGGTTTCTGTGAGTATATCCATCTTGTTTGTCATCTTTCACTGAATCTCTTCCTCATTCCATCCCACAGTTCTCTGACTCTCACAAGCACCTTAGCTCTTTGAGTTTAGCTGGAACAGGCAGTGAAGAAGAAGAACAGGTAACTTCTGCCAACTGTGTTAAGGGCCAAGCAATTATGCATAGTCTTTTATAGAAATGTAAGGCATAAATATTATTTTGTTGCCCATCTGCTGCAAAAAACCCAACCTTGTGTGTATGTAATTGCAGGCTTGCCTGTTTGCTTTGCTTTTTTAATGCCTGTCCTTCTAATGTAAAGTTAAGATTATTTGTCAACATAAATCTGATGCCAAGTAATCTCCCATTGATAATAATTAAGCCCTCTAGAATTGCTCATATCCTTTAGGAAACTTTACAGATATGATTTAATCTCCAAAGATGGAACAACCAGATTTAGATGCTGAAACAGTACCCTTGTGTTTTAAATGGTGTGCAATTGCAGCAAAGGCTGGTTGGATTACATGCATAGGATAAAAAGAAAGCTTGTTGAGGAGCTGTGAATAAAATCTAGATCCCCTGAAATCTGCCCGTCCCCTGGCTTTAAGTACAAGGTTACTGATGCAGGAAGTGTTTGCCTGATAATAGTGGCTGACATTGCTGCTCAGGAGTCTGAGGTTCAGCCTTCAGTCTGATTCTGGCCACATGAGCCAGCTCGAGCTGTGAGTTTTGCTGAAGTGATGTTTTCAGGGCTTGAGTACAAGCAAATAGATGGCTTTCTTCAATCAGCAGCCAGCCCTTCTGCCTGATGAAAGGACAGTTTTGAAAGGCTCTGAAGAGTCCCTTTTAGTTGTCTGCTGCTGGAGTCGTGGTGGAAAGAATGCAGGGGGTAAAGGGAAAAGTGCTTTCTAGAAACAGGAGGAGGGTTGGAGGGGAACTGCAGAAGGGGATTAGAGAAGATGGCCCTGAGCTGACAATTGCATGGTAATGATGCAAAATGCATTTCAAAACCAGGTGCAACAGAGCTTAGCAAAGATTTCTATCTACACTCGTTAGATTCCACAGGAAGCTGTTTGAAACACTCCTTATATACAGTGAAATTCTAATATTTTTAAAGAAAAAACAGCCAAACACTCGAGGAAGGCATTTCTTGAACACTGCTATAGGCTTCCTGTACATTTGTTTGGTCCAGATGCATGTTTGCCAAAGGAGGACTTAGGTCTCCCTGTTGTTCCATTACCATCACCCCCTGACTCACTGGCTGACTTCTGCGACGTGGTGGTGACTAAGTGGTTGCCCAGCTTTTTCCACATGGCCCATCATTTTGCTCAGTGCTCTCTTCAGCCCAGCCCACTTTCAGAGCCCAGCCAGAAAGCAGCCCCATCTGGAGCTTCAAACCACAAACCACCTCTCAAACCACAGTGTCTGCTACCTGGCATTTCAGAGAGGTTAGCTCTGCTTTTAGAAACCAGAGGGGATTGCAGGGCTGAGGTGTTTTGCACGATGCAACCCTGAGGTTTTGGGGCAGCAAGGACACCCTGCTGGGACTTGAAAGCTTTCCTGAATTGAAGAAGGGAGGAAAGATTCGTGACCATCCCACCCTGGCTTTGGGCAGGGGGCTCATGTCCCCCCACCTTGTGCTGCCCAGTGTGACCATCTGCAGGGCAGCTGAGCCATGTGGACGTGGAGTTTGGGGGAAGGGTTCTGCCAGCTTTCCCCTGCTCTAGCAGGCTTCCCCAGAGCCAGACTTCATGGGACAGGCGAGTCCTGCAGCTGCCTCAGAGATGACAGGCACTCAGGCTGCTGAAATCTCAGTGACCAGCAAGACTCTTGGTTTTTCCAGCGTAGTGGCCAACCCTGAGCACTGCCAACAAGAAGACATGCAAAGTTCTCAAGGAAAAGCAGAAGCCAGATGAAAGGCAGGGAAATAACGACGTGCCTTGAAAGAGAACATGTGCTGTGCCTTTATCAGAGAGCTGAAATTTCTGTGTCTTCACTGTTAGGTGCTGTTGTATAATGCAGTCATGTCTCATTTGTTACATGTATCCAACATTAGTCATGTTTGAGTGCTAAGACTGCAGATATTAGAGTGAAAATTAACGACAGCATCCATTATTCAGCATGGCTGAGCTATCGATTATTATTTTTTTAAATAGAAAGCAAGATCAGAAGCTGTGGATCCACTAAAATCAATGGGAGTTTTCCCCTGGCCACTGAGGAAGCTGTACCAGGCCCTCACTGCACTGCACAGCATCTTCTGCAGTGTGTAATGCAGGATTCTACCTGCAGAAAACAGCTGATGCTTTTCCCCTCCTTAAATCAAATTAACACTGTCCTGCTCTCCCCTTCTTCAACCCCCTCAGTAAGATACCACTTCCAGAGAAAGAAGAAAGAAGAAGAAAAAAAGAAGAAACCCCACAGAACAAGAACAATAAAAGAGGAAATTTCCTCTAATGAAATTAACTGGAATTTCAAGCCTGCAAAGGGTCATGAGTTGTCAGAAGTCACGTTCATGCTGTGACAGATAGTCTGGAAACATAATTTTGCCTCTTTGCAAAAACTGAACTTGAGACAAAGGCAGATCCCTTCTTTGAGTAATTTTTTATACATTTTCAGGCTCCTTTTTGTGTCAGCCCTGGGGATTAGGGTAGTTTTTGGTGAAGCCTTGTAGTCAAGTTGGGTTCCAGCTCCATGAAAGTACTGCATCCCTTGGTGAATTCAGTTGTTTCTGCATAGGTTGTTAGCCTGGAGTAGGAACTGTCCATCATTTTCCTTCTCCAGAACAGTCTACAAAAGGAAGTTTACATGTCAGGAAAACTCCTTGGTTAGTTTTCAAATCTAAATACATGAGGAGAAAGTGCAAGCTGACCTAAGTGTCAAAGCCATTGATGTTTGATCCTTTTGTCTTTAGGAGGGTGTTGTAGAGTTGGAAGGGACCTGATGACATAGGAAACTAGAGATGCTCCAGCCCAGCATAACTGTGGGTAGGAACCTATACATAGATGCTGGAGGACAGACACAGAAAGGAAATGGGACCTGTATGTTCTGTCAGGGAGAACTCTTCATAAATCTGTCTTCTAAAACATGCTGGCCACGTATTTGCGTGCCTTAGATCTTCAACTTAAATGTGATTTGGTCCTTCCTTCTGAACAGTAAAGCATGATATTCAAGCAGCTAAAAATGCAGAAGTGCTAACACCAGTACACTATGTGCAACATAAGCAAAAGCAATGCATTTCAAAGAGATGTCCAAAAGAAAAAGAGGGAACTTTAAAATGCCAATAAACATGGCCCTGTATTTGTAGGATTGTTATTTTCATGTCTTTGTTTCTTTGTTTGATTTTTTATTTGGGCCTTCTTTTTTTTTCCAGGTTACATTGGATCATTCTTCTAGATCTCACTCCACAGATGTTCAGCTGTTCCCTAGGCATGGAAGTGCTAAAACTGGAATTCCCCAGATGTCTGACAGTACCATCTCACCTTCAGCTGATTTTGACACCCCACCTGAGCTTTCATCTTGCTTAGATAATTCTGCTGCTAAACACAAGCTTTTAATCAAACCCCGGAACCAGAGATCCAGTAAAATGAGAAGATTTTCTCAGGTACTTGTGGGAATAAACAGTGTCATCACCAACTCAGGAAGTTCTTACTGGACTTTTCATTTCAAATTCATATAAAAGTCAGGTTGTGGCATGGGCATTTCATTGGGTTTTAATAACTGTTATTTGATGAGGCTACATATCTGGAGTAGGCACTAGGAAGCCATGAAATATGATGAGATGACTTGTTAACTCTTGCTGCAACAGTTTGTGTAACAACTTCTTAAATCGACTGTGCTGTTCAATTTAGTATCTTGGTTTTAATGCAGAAGTTGGGACTCACTGCTTCATTTCTTACTTTAAAACTTTTTTTGAAAGTGTTATGATAAAACTGTGTGCTGTTTCTAGTCTGAAAGATCATGTAAAATCTTGAGTCTTTGAGAGATTGATGGAGGAGCTGTTTTAACTTTCCAAATATGATTTGGCTGATATTTTTAAAAAGTGCAGAAAGAATAAATTGTGAGCTATTAATTTGAGCAAAATTCTGGGTATTAGAACTGTACTCAACTCATCCCTCTCACTGCTCCAAAAGTTCTAAACCTCTGTGCACTACAGAGACTTAAAATAAGTCTCCCCAGAGAGGCTGGGGGCAGGGGGGGGAAGAAAAAAGGTGTATACTAGTAAAAAAAATACTAGAAAGTGTACACTGTAAAAAGAATTGGTTTAAAACATCCTTTTAAAACACCACATCTCTTATTCTGTGTAATATCTTGTGAAGGACACAGCTTAATTTTTCTTCTTTCTCATCTCTTTTTAGAACAGATGTTTGCTGCTCTTCCTATAGTTTTTGCACTTTGGTATTTGTGGTTTCTTTCAGTGTTTTTAAATACATTAAAGCCATTAAATTGGCTTGCCTGACACCAGGAGTATTATTCTCTCTGTCTCTAAGTATTACTTAAATTATATTCTGTATTTTCAAAAATCTGTGAGTGATCTTTGGGCTTGGTAGGGATAATGGTGTGTGAGCAACATAATGATTGAGGCCCGTTATTTTGAAAAGCACGCAAGGCAATAACTCACTGATCAAACCTCCTCTTCTGTTGTGACATTATTACTGAAATACAATTGCTTTACCTGCTCTGCCTGCAAACTACCAGATGACTGAGCTCTCCTGATTTTCCATGGAGAGTGTTCACATCTTTGTGTAATGCAATTTCCAATGTTTTCCCACCTGACTCTGCCTGTGCACCAAACTTCTGGCTACCTGATGTCTTCTGCTTTTAAGTTCCTGTGGATCTGGACTGTGAATGCAGGTAGCATTGCAGCTCTGTCTTTGCAGTTGCACTTGAAAGACAAGAAGCTGGGAGAACCCTCCAAGTTGTCTTCAGCCAGCAAGTTCAGTGTTCTCAGTATTAGGCCCTACATCCCAAAGATCTATTTACTCAACAAACTGCAGTGAATCAGTGAGCTGATGCAGGCACCATATGAAAAGGCATATTCAGCAGCTTCAACATGTTCTTTTACTTCACCCTGTATATTTAGCTAGTCCTTACCTGAAGCTTAATCACAAGACCTCACAGGTAGCTACATACACATTTATAAGCTTCTATCAAATAGTCTAACTCTTGAAAGAAAAAAAAAAGACCTTTACACAAAGGAGGCAGGTCTGTAATGCCACATGGCATTGGGATGAGGCAGAAAACTGCCATATGGGGGTTGATCCTCAGCTGGCACCACGTGTCATAACCGGATGGACTTGTTAAGCTTTTGCTCTTCTCTCTATGTACCCACCCCTCTTCAGTCATGCTTTCTGAGGAATGGGCTGTTTTATTTTTCATGCTAGTATGGAGTAGCAAAACACAAAGGGACAGCTTTTTCTCTTTCAAGTGCTGCTTTTTGCCTAAGAGCAACACAACATGGCCAGTGTGCTCTGGGGAATCAAGTGCCAAGGCCAGGCCAGTGGCCATTGTTTTGATGAACTTCCCATCTACAAAGGCATGAAAGCACTAGTTGTGCAGAAGGAAGTGTCACTCTTTGCTTTTAAATTGGTTAAATACATTATTTCAGGGTCTGCTGAGATAAAAAAGCACACAGTAAATAGGTTAAGAAAAGAGCAAGCTCAGCACTGGAGACAAGTATTGCCTTCCTCTCTAAGATCTCAGTTGTAAATGTAATAATGAATAAGAAAAAAAGATAATCTGTGCATGGTGATGGGGCTTTCTGATATTTTTTTTTCTTGCAGAGGACCCAGTCTGAATCCCTGACAGATTTGAGCTTTACCCTAGAAGAAGAGGATGATGAAAAGGAGATGCAGACAGACCTACCAGATGCTGTGTTCAGACCCAGCGACCAAGAGCTGCCATGCAGCACAGCTGCAGTGCAGGATGTGTCTTCCTGGATGAAGCCCAGAACGCCTGAGGACCTTCCCCCAGCTTTGAGACCAGTGATGACTCAGCCTACTTTTGAGTCTGCTGTTGAACAGGAAGCCCTGCTCCCAGAGAATGCACCAGAGGGCTGCCAACCAACTCTGGAAATGATGCATGTGAAGTCTGAGTCCTCATCGCTGTTAGAAGGCAAAGCCCCCCCAGCTTCTTCCTACTCCACTCCAGACAGAGAAGTACAATGGGAGGAAGATTCCTCAGAAACACCAGTTCTGTTGTCTGAAGTTGTGAGTGGTGTGTCAGTCAATGTTTTAAATCAAGAAAATAAGGAGCTTCCTCCTGTGTTTTCAGTTAGTAAAATCCCATCAGAAGAAGACATTTCAATTAGCAAGAGTAGTATTGTTTGTTTGGAAGGGTCAGAAGAACATATACAGAAGGATGAACAGATACCTGTGGCAATGCCCTGTAATAAGGAGACAAAGAAAGAGTTTGCTCTATTGTCAGAATCCAGCAAGCAATTTTCCATAGGTTCTTCCCAGCCCATGGACTCGTTCCAAGTTTCACATCCTGCTTCCTCAAAGCTGATGGGATCAGCTACTTCCTGCTCTCTAGAGAAAACAAAGACTGCACAAGAAACAGCTGCTTCTGCTAAGGAGAACATTCAGTCACCACTCCACAGGGAGGAAATTTTGGGGAAGAAAGCTGAAAAAGCAGCCAATGAACTCAATGCCTTGAGAAAGTTTTCTGTTTCCTCAGCAAGGGAGAGACCGAGGACCAGGAGCCTCCACTTCCCAGAAAGATCAGAGTGGGAAAGCCCGTTAAATACCGGATTCTCCCTGTCCAAAGCAAAGGCCTCCTCCAGAAGTGAGAAGTGGAAAGAAGAAGTGCAGAAGGGAGCAGATCCGGAGGAGGAAAAGGGTGGCAGCAAAAATCAGGCTTTGCTGCCAGAGTGTGACCCTGAGGGCACAGGCCAACCCCCAGACGTGTGGGCTGCCTGCGTTTCTCCGGCCGGGGACGCGGTGCCGGTGCCAAGTGGTTCTTTGGTGGTAGCTCAGGATCAGCCAAGCTGTGAAGACAGAAGTCCTTTTCCAGTGAAACTTAGATCCACTTCGCTGTCCTTGAAATACAAAGACACCTCCTCACTGGAATCAAAAGGAATGAAAAGATACAGTGCAGAGTTTAATCTAGAAAATGAGGGACCTTCTTCCGCTCTCAGAAGTGATAAGGCACAGATCAGGAGAGCAGGTGACACAGATAGTGGTGATTCTTTGAATGAAAAGATCAAACCCAAAGCAAAGTCCTCAGAACAGCTTAGCAGCAAACCTCCATTGCCTAAAAAGCCAGCCTTCCAAAACATCACCCTTCCAAATACTACTGCAAACAAGGAGAAGCAGGACAAAGACATTCACCCTTCTCAATCCAGAAATGAAGACAGAGACTTGGAGAGAAAGTCAAATCCTTGTAAAGTGCCTGGTAAGACTCCCAATACTTCATACAGTTACATTCTCTTGAGAGGAACCACCTCACCTGTGGGGGGGTGTGAGGTGGTTCTCACAGGTTCAAACACCCTGTCATGTCAGTCACAGCACTGATTGAGCCTGACCTGAAGCCTCTGCCTTCAGTGATGTTGTTCCCTGCTTCTCTCTTGCTGAAAAGATTGTCAGATGGACCACAGGGAAGAAACAGCAGACAGAATAAGGTAGTTTTGCCTGTGAATTTTTTTTTTTTTTTCATTTCAAGGCCTTGTTTAAAAGGGTGTTTGAAGTGACAGTCAAAAAAGAAAATGCATTAGCAAGTATTGTGAAGCAGAAATACCAAGCCACTAAGTGTCCCCATCAGAGTGGCTGCATGGCAATTCAAAGCCAGGAGCACATATTAAGTGCAGTGCCCTGCACAGGATGAGTGACTCAGACCTCTAGAACTTCTTTTTCACCCTAGCATTGAGGCAGAAATGCTAGTAACTGCCTGGCAGGCTCAACATGCCATTTATTTCTTGTCTCCTGTGAGCTTTGCTTATTCATTTATCCATCTTTATCGTTACTCATTCCTTGTTTAAAACAAAAAATTCACTGCCCTGCAGCTTCCTGGAGTTTAAAGCCAGGAGAGACCATAAGATTGTGTCTACTGCAGATTGTTAATTTTCACCCTGTTGTCTGCATTATATAATTGGGTTAGAGTTCACAAAAACATTCAGATCAGTCCTTTGGACACAAATATATTGTGTGCTACAGTCAGAGAACAGAAAAGACTGGAAATGGCACCGCTGTCTGAGGTCTTTGCAGTGACAGTGAACAAGTTAGGTGAAGTACAATCCATTAATTCCAGCAGGAGAGCTCTGCTCTTCACTTCAGACAACAAAGGGGGAGAAAGAAAATCTTTAGGTCCTCTGATACGTGAGAGAAACTTCTTCCCTGCCCTGAATTTGCCTGGTCACGGGTGTGATGTTAAGGATGTGAGGAGGAGATGCTGACCAAGCAGATGAAAAGGTTTCCTCGTGCCATGGCAGAGCTTCCTGCCTCTGGTTGCACTTCTTCCACTTGGCTCAGTCTCTGAGCTTCAGAGTGGTGAAACCCTGAGCCAGAAGACCTCAGGGCATAGCAGGCCACTTGTCTGTAGGGTGACAAAAGCCTCTTCCTGGCCCCAGAGGTGACCTGCTGATGCCCTGAGTGACTGCTGGTTCCATTTGTCGTCTGCTGCAGCATTGCAGACCTTTTTGCAGGGCTCCAGCTGTGTTTCCTGCTTCTGAATCTCCCAGGGGCCATAAAGGAGGGGATTCCTCAGCTCCTGACCTCCATGGCTGGATGAGGCCCTCATGGCCATTCAGCCAGTGCCACCCCACACCCTGTGGGCAAGATGCTCTTCCTTTGTATCATCACCATGCCCCCTTTGAAGGCTTTTTACCCTCTTCCCTGTCCTGAGAAGTAGTTGGTTACTTGTAGTGACACCCAAATCTCACATTGCTTCATATTTTGGGGAGTGTCATACCTGGAAGAAGTGGAGACCTATCGCAGCAGGGTTGTCCTGGCAGAGGAAAAGCAAAAGCAGCAGAGGTACTAGCCCTTCTGCCCACAGCCTTTTCTCACATCCCTCCTGCTGAGTCCCAGGGTGCCTGCAGCAGGGGCAGGGTGGGAGACGGAGGGTGCTGGAGGAGGGCGAAGGGGAAGGAATGAAGCCAGGGAGCACATTTCTCCTCCAGGCTTAGGACCATAGAATCACACAATCGTAGGCGTTAGAAGGGACCTGGAAAGATCCCCCAGTCCAACCCCCCTGCCAGAGCAGGGTCACCCAGAGCACATCACACAGGAACGTGTCCAGGTGGGTTGGAATGTCTCCAGAGAAGGAGACTCCACAGCCTCTCTGGGCAGCCTGTCCCAGGGCTCTGTCACTCTCTCAGGAAAGAAGTTCTTCTTCATGTTGAAGTGGAACTTTCTTTGTTGCAACTTGGTGCTGTTTCCCCTGGTCCTATCATAGGGCACCACTGAAAAGTGGCTGGTCCATTCTTGACATCCACCCTTCAGATACTTGTAGACATTAATAATGTCCCCTCTTAGTCTTCTCTTCTCAAGACTAAGCAGCCCCAGGTCTCTCAGCCTTTCCTCAGATGACAAATGTTCCAGTCCCTTTATCGTCCCTGTAGCCCTTCATTGGACTCTCTCAAGTAGATCTCTGTCCCTCTTGAACTGGGGAGCCCAGAACTGGACAAACACTCCAGATGTGGTCTTACAAGGGCAGAGTAGAGGGGGAGGAGAACATCCCTTGACCTGCTGGCCACACTGTTCTTAATATATCCCAAGATACTCTTGGCTCTCTTGGCCACAAGGGCACATTGCTGCGCCGTGGATAACTTGTTGTCCACCTGGTCCTTCTCCATGGGGCTGCTTTCTAGCAGGTCAACCCCTAAGCTATACCAATGCATAGTGTTTTTCCTCCCCAGGTGCAAGACTCTACAATTACTCTTGTTGAACCTCATGAGGTTCCTCTTTGCCCAGCTCTCCAGTCTGTCTAGATCTCACTGACTGGCTGCACAGCCTTCAGGTGTATCAGCCAATCCTCCCAGCTTCGTATCACCAGCACACTGGCTGAGGATACTCTCCACTCCCTCATCCAGGTCTCCTCTAACACATCAGCCTTGAGGTGAAGGGAACTCTGTGTCCCTGGGCTCAGGACTGTCCTCTGCAAAATAGGATCTGTGGGTGAGAGTCATGCCCTGCCCCCCCTGGCAGGGCTGCACACACTTGGAATTTGAAGCAGGGGCTGCAGGTGAAGGAGCTAGGTTTTGGGTAGATTCCTCTCCACCTGATGGTATCACACCAGATCTCTATGGCATAAGGTTGTCTAACATGGTGCATCATACTGGTCTGTGGTGATAATTAATCTTTTTCCTTATCTATTGTCCCACCCATCTTATTTGTATGACCTTAAGTGAAGCTGCCACAAGTTTTCCACTCATTGTCAGCTTTGAGTCACTTGGTAATGGGCTCTAATATTTAGGCAAGCCAGGACTCAGAAACAGTTTCATTCTAAATACAAAGCAATCCTCTCCAAACTGCCCCAAGCCCCTGCCTGCCCCACTGCATAACTTTTTCCTCAGACACCTGACCAAGCACTCCTGCTTACTGAGTTTCCATGTCAGCCTGAGCTGCAGCCTGAAGTTGTGGGTGAACAAGGTGTGCCCCTCTCCTCTGCCTGCCCTGGCACCACCCCAGCCTTGGGAACGGGATCAGCATTGTGACCACAAGCAGTGATGCCTCTTTTCTGAGACTTAGAAGAGCCACAGGATGCAATGAGGGCTTAGCAGGCCTCTATCCCTGCCCAAGCACCATTTTAAGCCCTTTGAAACCTTTGCCTCAGCCCCAGAGCATTGGGAGCACATCTTTGCAGCTGCAAGCAGAAGAAATCTGACAAGCATGAGCAGCACAGCCCTTCGTGGATTGTGTGATTTACCAGCCAGCTCTGCCCTTCTGATCTGCTGGGACACTCAGTTCCTTTTATTTTCCAATCACCTCTAATGCTGGTACCCAGCCCTCTCCTAGACTTCGAGTTCCTCAGCCCTTTTGAAGAGCTGTCATCACCACTGAGGGTCACTTGATGCTGTCAGGGAGTCTCTGCTCACTGCACGTTAGGAAATTCCGGGGCTGAACGAGATGACAAGCTGAGAAATGGTGAGGCAAGAGGGTGCAATTCCCTGTTCATGTACACTCGTGTCCAGAAAAGTCAGTTTGCTGTGACATGGGGAAAGCAGGAGCAATTTGGATCATTCAGTTCCATTTTTAGCTTTTCAGAACTCCTGGTACCAAAGGCAACAGGAGGGCTGGTGGGATGTGGGCTGAGAGAGCAACACTCCTGTAGTTCCGTGGGGAGCTAGTGGGGGTTTGCTTGGCCTCTGTGGGGCTGCAGTGTGGCTCTTCAATTGCTGCATGAAATTAGTCAGCCCAGAAGGAGTAATTTCTATGTTTCTGCAGCTAAAGGCACAAGTCTTTGCAAGAATTAAAAGGTTAAGTTGTGCTCTTTAGGGCCGATGCACTTTGCTATAAATCCCAGAAAGGGCAGAAACAGGTAGCACATGCTAACAGGTTATTACAGGAGGAAAACCACAAGCAATCCCTGTGTGAATGTGCATACTGGGTTATAGAAAAATCAGTGGCTGAGGAGCTACAGCAGGGAGATGTGCTCTAACAGGGCAAAGGAACCTGGAGAGGGACAGCTCACATAACGGGGAATGAAATTGGTGTGTGTTGTCTGGCAAAGACAAGAAAAATGTTTCTCTACATACATCAAAAGACATGAATGCTGCTCTGGCTGTACCTGGAAAGGAAGCTGTCTTTTTTTGTTTGTTTGTTTGTTTGTTTTTTTGTCTTTTTTTCCAAAAGAAGTTCCTTTTTGGTTCTGACAGGCTATTTTGCAACAGGGCTGTTTTCCAGCAATGAACGATGCGAACACAGCAGTTGCTCGTGTCTAAAAGGCTCCTGGCACCAGGGGTGTAGATCCAACCAAAAGTCAAATCAAAGAACAGCTCAGAGAAGAATGAAGTGTCGAAAAATACTGAGCTGAATCTTTTAGAATAGGTCTGTCTGAGCTTAAGGAATAGGGTGTGACTGACACGTAGCCTTTTAATAAACAAAGGGAAGTATGCAGGCCAGGATATATTAAATGCCACATGCATTTGTAAAGCCCATCTTAAAATAACTGGTGTTTTATAAATGAGCTAAGATACCACAGTGTGGAATTCTGCTTTTGCATGCATAAGGCAGTGTTACAGAACGATGCCATGCTTGTATACAGGGGGTGTAATCTCCCTGTGTAAAGTTGTTTGGATTAGTTTTGAGAATGTTTGCTTTTAAAATACACAGGGAATCCACAAGTTAGCTTTGCTTGCTGTTAGAGGTGAGACTTTCAAAAGGCTCTAGTATTCTGCCTCTGACCTTTTGCCTGCACAGATGTATGTAAAGAGCAACCACTGTTTGCAGTCCTTGCAGGCATAAGATGCTCATTTTCAAGTATGAGAATTACATGTTACAAAGAGCCTCTGCTGTGTTTTGAACCCACAAAGGTATTTAGATTTAAAGGGAACAGGTACAATATCTGAGGCCACCTGTAAAAGAAAAAAAAAAATCAATCCCTAAATCTCAGGGTAATGTTTCAATATGTCTTTGCTGTGGTTATCCAGATAAGCAGCTCCCACACCCCCAGATGCATTGGAATACCCTGAGCTTATCTGTCTGTCAATAGACAGAAATGGGGATGTATTTCTCTTTCTGTGTGTGTATAAAGCAAAGAACAATAACAAGTCAATCACAGATCTTTTGTACATAAAGCTTCAAGTTTTATCTTCATCTTATTGCTCATACAGCCAGTCTGACAGAGGCTGAAGGATAACATCCAACTATCAATGAGAAGTGTGCACATTTATTTCCACAATATTTAGGCAGAAGAAATTTCATCTGTAACATCAGAGCTTGAGCCTGGGGAGGGGGGGGGGAAATAAATAA